ATTTAAGTGAATTTTAGAGAGCATGAGGTGGGATTGACAAACAAGGTGCCTTCAGATGGGATTTGTAACATTGGTATCCAATCTCCATTAGAGTCACTATTACTGGAGTTTTACTGAGCCCTGGCAGCTGTAACATGCTAGACTTGGCCACCTGTAGTCCTTCCATCAATTAAATAGCTAATTGCTAAACTCTCAAGAAAATCAATTCCTCTCTCTCTGCGGGGAACCAGGGATGCAGAGGTTAGAACTCATTTCAATTTAATAGAGAATGGGTATGGCTTTTATTTCAGACACTGGGCTCATGTTCTGGAAGTAGAAAAGGAGTCAGGCAGAATAGTGAAAGTGGAGAGGAGATTTATTCAACATGGCCACATTGGTGAAAAGAACAAATAAAAGGGCTCAGTGAACTCCCAGCCCATCTTCTAGGACACTGGTATGGGATTTAAATTTCAACAGAGGACAAGAGGTATGCATAACTAAATAGCCTTGGTCCAAGTGCAGACCTGTCCATCACAGTGCCATCGGTGTCTGCCTCCAGTCTCTTCTGCAAGATGGTCTGACAGCTTGGCAGAACTGTGTGAAATCTCTACCCAGGAGACAAGTTCCTCCTCTGACTAACACCAGCCTTTCCCTTCCCCGCCACCATGAGATTCCTAGAGAAACTGCAATTGCTTAGGCTCCACTAGCTTAATAGTCTGCTAGGCAAAGGGAGGAGCACAAGTGTAGCCTTAGACCATCTCCCCTCCTCCCAGAAGCCTGGAAACAGGAGGCCTGGCTTCGTACCCAAGTCTTAAGGTCTTCTAGCCAGGTGGCTTTACAAATTATTAACTTCCTGAACCTTCTTTTTTCTTAGTTGTCAAGTAGAAGAGTTGGGCTCTTAACTCCTTGAAGATCCCTCTGGCTTTCAAGTTTTGCACCCTGCCACAACCAAGCTCTCTGCCTTTGTAACTGCCAGTCTCTGGGAACTTGGCATCCAGCTGGGTATAGAATTACCCAGCACTCTTATCTCTCCTTGATTTGTTTCTCTGTTGACCTCTCCCCACCTCCACCCCCAGATATAAACATCCAAGGGGCTGGGGCTTGAGAAAGAGTAGATCTTACTAGAGGACTTCTGGCCTCTCTGGTGTTTTCTTAAGATGTTCAGATAAGAGCTTCTGACTTTGAGGCCTCAGGGAATCACACCTTTTCTATAAAAACAGAGAATGACCCGCCCCCCCCAAAAAAAACCCCAGGAATTAACTCTTGGTTGGCCGTCTCATGAGTTAGTGTCCTTTGGAATGAGGGCCCTATGTTCTGACTTTTATCTTTTTTTCTGGACTATTGCCCTCTTACCAAGCAAACACACAGTGGCCACACCTCTTACCCAAGACTTTCTAAATTACTTTTATTTTCTGTGTGTAATGGGTGTTTTGTCTGCATGTATATCTGTGCACTGCTTGCATGCCTGGTGCCATGGGAAACTGAAAGAGGGCATTGTATGCTCTGGAACTGGAGTTACACAGGGTCGTGAGCTGCCATGTAGGAGCTGGGATTGAACCCAGGTCTTCTGGAAAAGCAGCAAGTGCTCTTAACCACTGAGGCATTTCTCTAGCTTTAGGATTGTTTCTCGATGAAAACTGAGAAGAAGAAAGTGAGTATAGGAAGCCTGAAATGAAATGCCACCCACAAATGAAATAAAAATCCACAATGGATTATCCCATCTCCAGCAGTGCTGAAATGTACTTGAATTCACTGATTTCATTCTCGTGACAAACTCACAAGTGTAACCCAGCCTTAACCTTGTTCTTATCCAGGGATGAGGAGAATAGCAATGCAAGGGGAGCAAACCCCAAAGAATTTGTTTATTCCATAAAAATGGAGTGAGAGGAGAGTTACCTTCAGAACCTTCTTGTATAATGGCAAGAGCTCAGCCAGGGTACAGACAGGAAAACTAAAGTAGCTTCCCAGAGAAGAGAGTCAACCTAGAAAAGCCCAATTCTATGTCCAGCTCTGATACCCAAGTGTGAGTCTTGGGGAAACACCAAATCTGTGTCTTCATCTTCAAAACAGAGCTACAGGCTCACAAGCTCTCTCCAGAGGTGTGTATGAGCTGTTTGGGAGAGTGACTAGCTATACACATCAACTATCTTTAGATTTCATAGAGGTTAAAGTACTCAGTCTTATTTAGCCAAAGCTGACATCTACCAGGGTATATTAATGAGTGTCAGCCTGACACTGGGGGGCTTGCCCACCAACAGCTGAGTCAAATTCTTTCTGAATCCCATTCTCTGTATGCAGTGAGAAGGCTGGAGAGATGTTGTGGGCAATAGGGCAGGAAATTGACCAGTAGTGCCCACTATTGCATGGCTGAGGGGGCTCTGGGGTTATCCTAGGAACATCCCCTAGGCTTGTGTGCAGGCATGAGCATGCTGCTTGCCAGGCAGTGGGAAGGTCACGGGGACAGAATACAACACATATGGAGCAGACTCACACGGGGATTTCTATCTGCTGCTAATCAAGTGTGGCCCAGCGCCCCACTCAGCACCTCGTGGTGTTCCAGGACTTGGAAGTGGCCCAACTGTGACTGCCCCCAGCTGATTGTGGTTGATGGAGCTGCAGCCCTTTTCCTGTCTACTGTTGTCTTTCCCTTCTTTGAAGCCATATGATTGCACAGCTATCAATCTTCAGCTCCCACGGGGCTGCTCTAACTCTATTACTTCTGTTTTCCTCTAGGGATTTCCTTCCCAACCATTCCCAGTTATTGAATGTCCCAGGAGAACAGGACAGAGAGCCACCAGCTCCCTCCAAGCTCTAAAATCATAATCCTGGTGTCATTCTTTCCCTGCTATCTGTGACAAAGGACTAGAACCTTGTCCTCTGTAAACTAACTCTTCTTTACAGTTACAGAACACCCAGAAGATGGGAAAAGAGAAACAGAGAGACCTTAGCATCCTAGCACATCCTTTAACGGCTCTAAAAACTAGGCAAGGATGTGGCTAGATTTTATCATTTTGTCTAAGAGCTTTTCATTGTTAGGAGGAACCCAGAGCTTCCTAGAATCCAGCTGCTAAGTAAAACCCTCAACTGAAACAAGAGCTTTGTGTTCCGCTCTAGCCGCCCTCACTGCCTCCCTGTGGAGGTCAGAGAATTCTTATCTCTTAGTGATGGTATTTGTGGCTCCATCTCCCTTCCTTAAATGATGTATTCACTCTAAAAAAAGATCGGGTAGCCATCTGCACTGTAGTCCCAGCTCTCAGGAGGATGAAGCAGGAGGATTTCTTAAGTCCAGCCTGCCTGGGTAGTATAGCCATGTTTACAGAAAAAGGCGATTCCGAAGTAGTTGACCAAGACAAAATTAAAACATACTCCATGGTTTTTTTTCTTTATTTATTTTTGTTTGTGCTTTTTGTTATTGTTATGGCTTAGTAGGTTTTGACCATTTGGAGGTTTTTTTTTGGGGGGGTGGGTTGTGGGGAAGACAGAGAGGTGGGATATGAAATTAATAGGGTAGAGAGTTGGGAAGGATCTGAGCGGCCTTGAGGAAAAGCAACAACTAAGATCGAAGTATGAAAAAAATCAAAAATAATTAAAAATGTAATGAAAATAAAGCACTTCAGAAATGGAAAGCAGTGACACTGGACCTCTCCTACACTCCTGAACAGAGGCAGACCCCTCCCATACGCAGCCACTCCCCAGAAGAGCACTACATACAATGTGAGCCCTGTGGTTTCAGGCAGGGTCCAGGAGGAGATGATTAATGCATGTCCGTCTTAAAGAAATGAAAAGCATGGAACTGAGAGATCAAGTCCACATTTCTGGAGAGGAAAACAGGGGCAGGAGTCCAAAGAAAAGCAGCCACAAATATGTTATGGTGTAAAATAAGTCATAAGCATGCCCCAGCCAACCAGCAGTCTTTTGCTCCATAAATGATTCCCCACCACAGTGACACTAAGTGCATCCAAACGCTTAAATGACATATGACAGGGGTCACATGTAGTTTTCCTGAGGCCTGCTATGGGTTCCCTATGTTCCCCACTTCTCTGCACCCTGGGAAGAGGCAGGCATGCGGGACTGGCTGCCAGTGTACTGGGAATCTTCAGAGCCTTTGAAAGCCTTCCAGGAATGTCAGCACAGACTGCCTGCCCACTCTCTGCTCAATGCCCACTTTAGCCGTCTGCTGAGGACTGGATGTGCCAGGCAGCCTTCATACAAAGACAGAGAGTGTTCTGAGGCCATGAAAGGAAGACACAGCCTTTCGGATGTGAATGGCGAGATTTAAGAAGTAGGTGACTACGTGGCAGGGAAAAGAAGGACTCTCAGAGAGTTATGAGAGAGACCAAAGCAGTGGATGAGTGCATTCCTGGTACCTTCCCACCGTCAGTCTGGAAAGACAGGCTGCTATCATGCTGTGTCCTTGCCTGATTACTATAGTGCATCCCTATGCTTTTGCTTGTGGATTCTTCCTGCATCCAAGGGTCTCCTTAATCATAAAGATATGGTAAGTCCTGCCAAGGCACAATTATGTGTACTTCCATTTACATTTCAATGCTGAATAAAATGTCTGTTTGTAGTATGTGTCATTTAGGATTTTCTGTGACTTATTTTTTGCCCAAAATATATGAAAACATTGAGAGCAGTCCACTGTGGTGCACAAAGAGCCTGGAACATTCTTCGCCTTCAGCTCACTTTGAACAAGTTAGAAAAATGCTTTGCCTGGTGACCCCTTCCTAACTCTTCAGTGATGCTAGCCCAGCGCCTTGGCAAAGCACCCACGTTGGAGGGAAGATCTCTTCTGGGGTTTTGAGCTTTTTTGAGGAGGCTGTCTGATGTCACTGGTGGCAGACACAGCATAGCTGTGTCTGTCTTTTGTCTGAACCATCTGCTTTCCTTCTTGCAGGCTATTGTTCATAATTCTTCTCTTTTTCCAGGAACCGTGCCTGTCTCTAAACACATGGGCTCTGTAAGTGCTAAAGAGAAAGCCCTAACATTCTAAAACCGCTTCTCTCTTTTTCCCTTCCTAGAATCTTATGGCAAGGGCCTTATATGACAATGTCCCCGAGTGTGCTGAGGAGCTGGCCTTCCGAAAAGGAGACATCTTAACTGTCATAGAGCAGAACACTGGAGGACTAGAGGGATGGTGGCTGTGTTCCCTACATGGTCGCCAAGGAATTGTCCCAGGCAACCGGGTGAAACTTCTCATTGGTCCAGTGCAGGAGACCTCCAGTCATGAGCAGCCTACTCCTGGACCCATGCATCAGACCTTTGGGCAACAGAAACTATATCAAGTACCAAATTCACAGGCAGCATCTCGTGATACCATCTACCAAGTGCCACCATCCTACCAGAATCAAGGAATTTACCAAGTACCCACTGGCCATGGTACCCCAGAACCAGATGTGTATCAAGTACCACCATCAGTTCAGAGAAACATTGGAGGCACTAATGGGCCCCATCTGGGCAAAAAGGTAAGTGATTAACTCAAATTTTGTTCCTTCTTTTATGCCATTCATTGTATATAGAATAATAGAAGCAATCCCCAAATAATAATTAGATATTTCCCAAAAGCAAACATACTAAATGACTTACCCCAGATATCATTATTGCATTAAATTTCCATTGATGAGTCAACAAAAAATATATAATTTCCAAGACAGAGTCTCAATATGTTCATTCTAGGTTGTCCTTGAACTTGAGATCCTCTTGCTTGGACTCCTGAGTGCTGGGACTATAGGCATGTGACATCATATCTGGCAACAAGACTTTCTTGAGCTACCGTGTGCCAAGTACTATTGACAGCCAGCCAGTATAACTGGCATTTCATTCTGGATCAGACTTAAGCACACAACTGTATCTCTTCAGTTGTGTGATGGGTCTGCTAGAGCTGGATTCTGTGTATAAATGGTCTGCAGTCTTCTCTACCTCATCCTTCAGTAGTGTGGCCCCAGTTGTCACTCAAGCATACTGACACGGTGCGGATCCTTTTTCTTGGGCCAAGAGCTAAATTAGTCTGGCTGAACAACAACAACAAAAGTCAATCAAATGCAGATGAAGTAAAAAGGCTGAAAGTACATCCTGTCTACCAACTCATTCTTCGGAATTTTGGGTTTAAAGACTGATTAATTCAAAATACATAGATGTTAGTGGATTTAGGAAGAATGTATCCTTGTTTCCTTGAAGTAACTCTTTTAATAATATCCAAGGTAGAAGGTGAATGAGTATTTAGGAAAATGTCATTTTTAAAAACTACAAGACAAATGTGATATATTCTTCAGATTTTCATCACTATAACCAAATACTTGAAACTGCTAACTTCATAAAGAGAGAACATTTGTGTATTAACCTCAGAGTTTTGGTGGCTCTGGGACCTGCCTTTGACATTAGCTCAATTGTGGCAAAGGCTCTTCCAGCTGTCACCATGTCTCTTCTGGGGGCCACTCCCCCAGTGACTTCAATTCTCCCGTTAGCACCCATCCCTCAGAGGTTCAACTGTGTCCCACCCTGGAAACCAAGCCTTTAATAACAGCAGGTTCTTGCAGGGGGTGGAGGATGGGGGAGGGTTACTCAGACCATACCTGAATCACAAGACTAGGGGCCACAACCTGTTAGATTCTCAACCCAGAACATTTGAGATGACTGGAATTGCATTCATTAAATAGTGAATATTGACATGTTTTGTGTTGGTGATAAAGTTGTGAATTAAAGACTAAACAGAGCCTTCACAATGCTTACAGTGCAATGAGAGAAACAATAAACTACAAAGTCAGATGGTTGTGTCCTGGGAAGAAAACAATGACACTAGATTTACAGGCCAACAGCCAGACCCACAATGTTTTTGTGCCATTAAAAGGGAGGGATTTCCTCTTTCGTTTGTCAGAACTTTCCAGTGGTTCCTTCAAGGTTTGCAATTAAAACTAGACTAATTTCATACAATGAGAAAATATCTCCAGATTACGAGAAGAAGGGTGAAGTTGATACCAGAAAAAGTTTGTAACTCTACAACACAAAACATAGATGAATTTACAAATCTATGTAAGCTAGGTAATATTTGGTTACACGGTACTAGTACTTTTACTTTCTTCTAAGTAAATCTATTTTAAAGACTGATTGTTTTTTTACTTGTATGTATGTAAGTGGTTTGCTTGGCATATGTCTGCACTGCCTGGTACCCAAGGAAGCCAGAAGAGGGAACTGGATCCCCTGGAACTGGAGTTAACAACAGTTGTAAGGCACAGTGTGGGTGCTTGGAACCAAACCTGCAGTCTTCTGCAAGAACAAGTGCTCTTAAACCACTGAGCCATCTCTCTAGCCCCTGGAACTCTTATTTTTTTAAAGGGAACAGGGAAAGATTTATTTTTGGATTCCTTAACCACGAATGCTTTCCTAATCACCTATTATAAAACATATTATAAAATGTATGTTTAAACAAAACACATCTCAAGGACACATGATCTCTGAGTTCTGTCTACCAGGAGGAATTCTCTAAGATGCAGAGAACAGCTTTCCCTATCCCCAGGACAGGGATCCTGGCTAAAAGCCATGTGACCTTCCAAAGCCCTTCTCACCCCCAGTGATTTCAGCTCCAAAGGGAACGCCAAGCCTGGCCTGTGTCCCCAGAGGGGGACGAACAGTTGAAAGGTGTCACTATAAATAAGTAAAGCTTTCATTCTTAGTCTCGGAGGCTTGCACCTTAAAAATAGCTCTCCCTCATCTGAGCTGGTTCGAGGCAGACAGAGGAGGCCAGAACAAGAAATGCTTGGCTGAAAGGCAGAGGGACCAAACTTTCATCACAGTTTATTTTGGCAGAAAGGTGACTTGTTTTCCTTTTTGGTCTCAACCTTTTCAGTTCCTTGTCTGGGAAGCCTGAAGCTTCAGACCTCTCCCCAATGCCTGTGTTGTGGATAACAGCAGCCTTCTCCTTGGCTCCTCTCCTGGTCTCCATTGATGTCAGGGGCTGAGGCCCTCAGGTGGCCCTGGGTCACTCCACATATTGTTTTGTTTTAAAGCTTCCACGCCCCTGAGCCTTCTGTGTTCACCCTGCAGCAGTGAACCCACTTCTAAGAAACTCTGCAAGCCCTTTAGCAGTGTAGACCAAAGCAGGCACTCCTGGCACCTGAACTAGGAGCTTCCACAGTGGCGGTCTGACAGGTACAGGCTAAGAGGACAGGAGAGGTGAGCCTAGCTCTCCCATGCCACGCACCAGGGTCCTCCATGGCATACCCTGTGCGAGTGTCTTGGTGCCTTTGAGACTGCAGGTATCCTGCTTCCGTCCCCCTGAACCACCGGCTCACACCCACAAGGGAGTCATGTTGCCTCTTCTTTCCATCCCTCACCCACTGTATCTCTTCCTTCTTTGTCCTCTCTTTCCTTCTGTTCTCTCCCTTACCTCTCCCCATCTCCCCTTCCTTTCATCCCTTTCTCCCTTTCCCACACTCCCCTCTCTCTTTCCTTCCCTTCCTTTCCTACTTTCCTTCCTGATTTTCCTCCTTCCCTTCTCTTTCCCCCTCTCCCTCTTTTTCTTACCCCCCTTCCTACCTCCCTTATCCCTCCTTTCTTTCTTCTTAAACTTTCTTTGCTAATGGAGACAGCTTAGCTGCTAGGAGGCGATTGTAACATTGCAGGCAACAGTAACTGCTTTAAGACTTCCAGCCCCAGCTGGGCGTTGGTGGCATACACCTTTAATCCCAGGACTCAGGAGGCAGAGGCAGGCAGATCTCTGTGAGTTCGAGACCAGCCTGGTCTACAGGAGCTAGTTCCAGGACAGCCTCCAAACGCCACAGAGAAACACTGTCTCAAAAAACCAAAAAAAAAAAAAAAAAAAAAGACTTCGGGCCTCATCTCCCTTTTCAGTGGTAACTCCCAGTGGGTAGGAGTCCTAGTGACTTAAGTCAGACTCCAATCTCATTGCACAGGACAGCAGATGTGAGTTTGGTTGTTATTATTTCTCATTTTAGGTGTTTGGCTGGCTTGCTAAATAACTCACTCATTTTCTCTTCTATTTTTCTGTCTGTAAATGGTGACAAACCAAGGCCCCGGCCCTTGCCAGTTATTCTAGCTGTGGTATTTAAAGGCTGTTTAAGGAAAATGAGGAAGCAGTTGGAACTTGTTCTGAGCTTGTAGGCTTTAATGAACAAGGCTGACACCCAGAGAGGGAAAGACATCGATTCAGATGCAGACTCCTAGGCCTGCCTCACAGCCCCTCCTTCGGGGAATCTAGGAAGGGAGGCCCAGAAACCTACTTTTTCTCAAACTTTGTGCATAGTCCAGTGGGAGTTGGTCCAGGACTGTGCTCAGAGAAACCCTAAGGAGGTACAGTGGCCAGCTTGGATATGTTCCAGTCTGACTGTGATCGGGGCTTTCCATAGTTCAGAACTCTCCTGCATTGTTACAGCATGGGTTTCAGGGTTCATCCGCCACTGTGCCCTAATGAAATCACTCCAAAAAACTGCACCACGAATTCTGCCTTCTGCCTTGCCTTTCTGCTTTTCTGGAAAGTGCAGCCTCTGCTGGCCCTCCTGCACCCCACCCATGTTAACCAGCAGCCAGAATTTGCTACCTAGGGAGTGCAAATGAGAATCATACGCCCACCCTCTGTGAACCAGGGAGGCCAGAGCTCTGTGGACCTTAGTCTGTCCCTCCCTCCCCCTGCCCCGTGGCTCTGTGGCTTTGTGTGTGCAGAAAATTACAGGTGTTCTCTCAGACATTGCTCCTTCATTTGTGAAGTGGGAATAAGCCTGTTCACCACAAAGGCTACTGGGAAAGTTAACTGGAACAGTAGGTAGAGCGCTGCATTGTGGGAGCTTCAAGGCGAGTCTTGTCTCCTGCCTTTCTTTCCTTTCTCCTTCCTCAGATTATTGTTTGGGTTTTGTTTGTTTTAGACAAAGTCTCAAGTGAGCCCAGGCTGGCCTCAAACTTGCTAAGTAACTGAGAATGGCCTTGAACTTCTGGTCCTCCCGGATTCTGGGATAACAGGTGTCTGAGGTCACACCCAGTTTTCCACGATCATGTTCAATATATGGAACGTGTGTGTTTCTCAGTATGTGCCAAATATGTACATACTCTATTCCCAGCAAATGTGCTGAGCTCTTTGAGCATGCAGGTCTCTCCCTGGCTCTGTAAGAATTCTAGAAAGGGTGGTGAAGAATCAAAGTCATCTGGAAACCTCACACACTGACACTTTGCTTGGTTTCATGGGTTTTATGTGCAGGCCTGCTTTATTCATCAGGCATTATGGGCACAGTGCCCGGGGCCTGTGCAAAAGTTTGCAAGCTGAATTAAAAAAAGAAAACTTTGAGCTGCAGAATATGAAGCTTAATAAGTGCAAAACAGAAATTAATCAACACATAGACACACGCTTAGGAAAGAGCATCATGCAAGCCTCATTAATCCTCTGTGGGGCTCGTGACAATTCCATTACATTTGGAAAACAATTTGTAAGTTAGAGCTTTCTCACTCTGCAAAGACTTCT